GAAACAGAGCCATCGCCATCCACGGACGCACCATCCTCAAAGGAACCAGCCAATCCGCTGCAAGAATCCCAGTTCCAGACACTGCAGGACACCCAGCCCCCCACCAACACCCCGAGGTGGTGCATCCACGCTCTAATGGGAGTGTTCATGCAGCACAGTGGTGACCGACACACTGTCAGGCATGGCCTGCACAAAAAACACCTCATCACCAACCGTGTAAAACAGACAAGAAATAACATTTGTTTTAAATAAAAATATATTTCTCTTTAATTTAAATTACATCATGGCAACAAAGCACAGCAAAGTTCTGGTCCTGAGCTCCTTCATAGCAACAAAAAGCGAACCCCAGCAGATCTGTGTAGCAACGTCTCTGAAAACTCCGTTTTCAATCACGGAGCTGCTGAGATTCGGGGTCTCACTCAGTCGCTCGCGGCGAGACGCTCGGAGGAAGTCGTCTCACGTGTTGTCGGTAAAAACTTGTCCCAGGATGGAGAGCCGAGCGCTGAACGGCTGAACGGGGCAGGACAGCAGAGGGGGCATCTTCTTCTCTCCCGGTTTCAGAGCAATGCTCTCCGATTGGCTGCCCCCCTCTGTCTGTTCGGGAGGGGGTTTTGATTGGCTGCCGGGCTGCGACAGGGTGAGCAGGATGTCTTGGAGCTCCTGGCGGTCCTGGTTGTGCCGGCCGCAGCAGTACAGCGCCGCTGGGTCCAGAGGGTGAGCCTCCGTGTTAAAGATGAACCCCCCTGCCCCTAACACGCACTCCCCCGCCTCCCCACCCTCCTCCCACGACCCGTCCCCCTCCGTCCCTCCGCCGTGCAGAAAGTGGGTGGGGTCAAAGAGCAGGTAGAGGTACTTGATGGTTTCAGCTAGAAAGAAGGACTCCATCCTGTTGTCCAGCTGGTGATCTCGCAGGTCTTTAACCTGGAAGACGAGCGAGGAAAACTTTACTCCTGAGCTAAGTACTAAAGCCAGCCAATCAAACTGATAGTGGGGCTTACGCTGGCATATCCACACGGCGTCTTGGCGATCTTCTCGATGGACTCCAGAGCGTCGACGCCCAGCTGGAGATAGGTGTGATCACCTGTCGCCCTGAACAGGTACATCGCACTCTCGATCAACTCTGAAACACGAAGGAAGAAGGAAGATCAGCTGGTTTTTACTTAAAGTTGCTCAGAAAACAACCAAAAACTATACTTCAGAGTTTTATGACATCAGCGCCTTCAAGGTTCATCTACACAATAAATAAATCACAATAAATATTATTGCGATGAAGCTCTGTGTTGTTGCCCATCTCAGAAAGCATCACTCACCTGCTGTTTAGTTCAGATTATCTCAAGACACTAAAAATCAAGCAGCTCAAGGCCTCCCATCACTCCCTGAAGCTGATAAATATTAGTCTGAATGAGCTCCGACTGTAACCTTTGACCCCGAAGACAGAACGCGATAGGCGGAGGGTGTTAGTGGACTGACCTGGTCTCAGTGGGTAGCCCTCTCTCTTATCCACAGTGTAACCCTGAGGGATGCTGTAAAACTCAGGCAGTCCTCCAAACTGTCTCCACACAGAATAATAATTCTGGAAAGTTCTCACAGCGCTGTCCAGGTTTCCCAGCAGAGACTGAAACACAGACGCAGATTTAACTTTGTTTGTTAACAGCCTCCAGTTACACACTTGTTTGTGCGTTCACTCACCTGCAGGCCGGGCCAGAAGGCCTCCAGACTCTGGAAAATGGGCATGGACACAGTTCCTTTGTGCATCTGCACCCACAGGTACCAGTCGTCAAAGCGGGTGTAGTTCTGGATGGCTCGATCATACGCTGAGAAAAGACATCACAGGATCAGATGTTCGGTTTTCCTTCTGTTTGTGGCACAGAGGCATCAAATGAAGCTTTCATAAGTGCAGAAGTTATGCAGCTGGAACCATCGGACAAACCAACCCTGACGACTACTTACAGACTAGAAAAATTATTTTATTTGTCTCCACAAACTTTTTTTTTTACTAAAACAGGAAATGCTCAGCAGCTGTCAGGAGGAAGGAGAGCGCTGTGACCGTTACCCTGGAACATGCTGAGCAGCTCTTCATCCTGCAGCATAACGGCTCCTTTGACCAGATACTCGAAGTACGAGTCGACTCCCGCGCCAATACCAGCATCCTGAGCGACCCACTTCGTGGACACGATGTCAATGTGGTTCCCCACCTGGGCGGGCAGACAGGTGACAGGAGCAGGTAGGAGGCTGTTTCTGTTTTATTGACACATTCAGCTCCTTCACCAGCTCCACAGAAACATTTATATAAAATCATCATATTTAAATGTTTTTAAATTAATTTGGCTTAATGTGGCTCCATTCATGCTACGCTCCATTTTCAGCACATCCTACACAAATGCTCATGTTAGGCCTTTTCCCACTTTAGCTGCCATGTTTGCACTTTGGGTTGGACGTGAGTGGACGGTTGTAGCAGACACTTTATTTACCAGTCCGATGTCAGATCTGGTCTTCCACAGGGCTCTCAGGGCTCGGCGGGCGACGTTCTCAAATGTCGGGTCTCCCGTTAGTCGACTCAGTGTGGCGAACTCCAGGATGAAGGTTCCCACGCCAGCAGTACAGGTGACCGGTGTCTCAGTGGGACTGACGCCACGCAGGAGGTTCACCGTACCGTACGGCATGCCGGTGGGAGTCTCAAACGCTGATTTGTTGTTGAGACAAAT